TTGCGTAATTAGTACACTGAAGCGCTACCTCGAAGAGAAAAAATCCAATGATTGAGGTCACCTCGAAAATTGGATGAAGCGCTTCTTTTCGAAGCAAACGCCGGATTTCTAAAGTAAGAGGGTTGAGAAGTTGCCCAGAAAAAGTACACGTCTCCTACGTGCTACCGGTGATAACCGTGCTGATTGAATATCCCATTCAACAAAAAAAGGTACAGTCAAAAATCTTGGACAAAGTGTCGCAGGATTTTCTGGACAACCCAATAGTATTTCACCATTCTAGGACAAATGATGATGTGAAGGGTGGGGTTCCACAAGGCGACTCCTCCTTGCCCACACTTTCCAACGCCAACGAGAATGAGTTTGCCGTTATTCCTGACCCAAGGGCGCTCTAAACAGTGAAAGCAAATCTGGTAGGATTCAATTACTCCAATTTTTTTTTTGGAAAACTGGGCGTCGGGCGAACGTACCTCATGTGAAATTTCCTCCATCAATCGAGAGGCATTGACGCATTTTTAATTGAAGCGAGGGATTACGATAAGATTGGACTGGGTTCATAGTGGAAGTGGAGATGCTGAATAATGCCCCAGTGGCGAAAAAAGCAAAGAAATCCGTCAAGAAGGCGCAAAATGGGACCCCTTTCTTTGCCCGTTGACCTCCGATAATGGACGAGCTAGCAACCAATTAGGAGGTCGTTTGCACATGTTATGCTGATAGCCTCTATCATTTCAGCAAGCATCATGCTTTGATTGATCACGCATCCCATGAAAAGTTATAGGATACACTCTGGAAGTGGAATATCTCGTCACATTGGCAATCGAAGGGCGCTGCTGCTGGGGGCGGAGCACAGACCGTGGCGGGGCTCAGAAAGGAATGGCAAGCCTTGTACGCTGCAACTAGCGCACCTTTGACCACAAAAACGCAACATTTCGTTTCCTTGGGCCCCTGACTACTGCTTCCAATGGTGCATGTACTTCCACGCTGCATACACTTTATCGTAATCTCTCGCTTTAAAGGCAAAACTCTCAATAAAACTAGTGTTCATTGAAGAGAAAGATGGGCAGTAGAGGAGGAAGGGAAAGTCCATGTATACGATATGTGGCGGGGGCGATCGGTATTTCGGGCAGAATCAATCGATCCTGCGGAAGCCGCCACATTCTCTCTGCTCTTCTCTCCAGTTTTTATAGGAAACCATTGAAAATTTGTGCGCGAAAATCTGGCCATCTGTATGACGTCGTTTTGCCAGGGAACTACTGCCTTGTTTATTAGGGTGCCCGAGAATTTCTGAGGTCCTTGGACCAGATAAACTCCTAACAAAATTATATTCTTCTCGTTGATGAAAAACCTGAACACCTCTACAAGGTGGCCACCAATGACGGTAACAAGATTAAATGATCCTGGGAAATCTGTACAATCAAAGGAGACAACTCAGAAGCAACTTTGTCTCCTATCCTGCAAGGAATGCAGTGCTTCTCGTCTACCCTTTTCAAGGACTGATTGCACTTCCTCATTCATTGAAAAAAAGATCGGCATGGAGATGAGACACCTTTTCCGTTCAGCCGCGGCTTTTGTTTTTCACTTTCAGTGTGAGCGTTTTGGGGAGCAGGCTTCCCCTGGATATTCTGTGTGGGGTGATTGTCGCGAATAAGTGCCCTTGCGAGTGCATGAGAATGGAATGGTTTAAACACCTTGGAGCCCACGCAGCCCATATGTGGGCTGCAGTCCTCCGACCGCATAGGACCTTTCAGCTCGCATTTCGGAAACAATTATTAGGTTTTTCATTCATTTTCTTTTCCATTTTATCCGATAAGATTTCTTCTGCATTACACAGTGGGTTCTTCTTTTGAATTTGCTAGATAAGATCCCTAAAAATCTCACCGAAGTCCCGCGCGGCCGCGGAACGTAAAACACGGCCTGCGGTCTCCAAAGCGTGTAACGTGATTAGCTCGGCTTCGCGCCGACTTTGCTGAAGATTGTTTTTAGTAGCTCCTAGCTTTCCTTCCACGTCCAACCAATCATTACCCACCTAGTTCGTTGAGTTTTGCAGCATTACTATTATGTATATTCGGAGAATCTGAATTGCTCTGAAGTGTAGCAACACAAGATTCACTGAAAAACAAACAAACGAGTCGTCAATCATGAGAGAAGCCTTGAATTGTTAGTTGTACTTCCAACCATTTTCCAAGGTAACAAATTGTACAGGACAAAATCAAAGAATAAACATCGAACTAATAGAACCAGATACGTAGAACCTAAATTCAGAGCTCCGGTAGACAAAATTCTGAAATTGCATGAGCTGCGCTCTTATTAACGAAATTTTGGTCCCCTGTACATTTGTCTTGAAAGTAGATGGAGCACGGCCTTGGTGTAGAGCTCACAACCAAGTGGCACCTTCAGCCCATAATTGGTTGATGGTTCGGCCACCCGCATCGAGCCGCGTCGTGTAGAATCTCGTCAAAAATGGGAATCAAACGTGTCTCACTTGAAGGGGTTTCAGGGTTTCCTTTGTTTTTCTTTTACCAGTTGCATCAGTGTCTCCTTAGCCAACATGCGTGCGTAGCGTGCGCGCCGCTGTGCCTCTGTACGTTTCCCGCCGGACGCGTGATTCTTTAGCCTGGACGAGTGATAGATCTTTCAGCAAAGAGAGCGGTTAACGTTTGAGGAGAGCAACTATTACCGTTTGCCTGGTTTTACCACCTTTTCTGTCGGTGGTGAAATTCTTTTAATTAGATCTGTTTTTTTTTTCACAACTCAACATTTAAACACCTGGCCAAATACACATGATGCTGTCGTTCCCCCCCTTCATTCACTTTTAGCTTCCCTGCATTATCTAGCCGGATCTGTGCGTGAGCGAAGTGTCATTTGCCCAGGATTGTTTTATTTTTTAATTTTAACGGCTTTCTGCACCTGAACTTTAAGAGTGGCCCTCTGTGACAGGGTAAACACAACCGTGTTTTAGGGTAAAACTTAAATTGGTTTCCTGTGCATAACCATTTTAAGTAGTGATATAATAATGTAGCGAATACTGGAGGGTGTAGAAAAGGTTATGTGGTTACTGCTGGGAAATGAAATGAAGATGGTGCTTGGGGCATGTGTGAAGAAAAACGAAAAAAACGAGAACTCGTGGTAAACTAATCCCTTTTAATTTGCGCCATATAAGCAGCCAACAATTCCCCGCACCAACAGAGCTCAAGTATCATTCTATCATTATAACAAAACGTGAAAACCGCAAATATGCCTTTTTGGATAAGCGTGCAAGCCAAAGAAAAGCACTCATTGCAGAACGAGAGAACGAAAGCGGAAATCAGGATCGAGTAGTGAGGACTCTCTTGTGATTCCTCCTCCTGTACCTGCGGAGGCTTTAGTCATTCCTCCTCCTCTACCGAAACTGGAAGAACGACAAGAGTTGCAGTCATTAACTCACGCGGATTTTCTTGAAAGAGACGTGAGTGTTTTGTTGAATGAGTTCAACTTTTCAACTAACGCGTTAATGTTATCATTCTTCTGCTGTCCTTGTTCGTGTGTTCTTGTTGCCATTAGATGCGAGATGTTCGTGAGATGGCCGTGAGGTTGGTGCAGGGGGGGGGCAAAAAAAAAGACATTTTGCCTCCACTTCCAGATGGATTTAAGCACATTTTACTCAACTCAGACCGAACGGTTCCAACTTTATTATTATATTCCATTCTATAAGAAAATCTTCATAGTGGCCACGTACGTGGACGGCATCAGAAGAATTAGCCCTGGAAACATGGTGCACTGGTCGATCTCAATGGGGTCTTCGAAGGATCGTGTACCATAACGACCCTTACTGGAAAGCTAGTTCCGAGGGGATTTGCACAGTGGTAGCTAATGCCTCTAGAAAACTATCCAACATTAAATCGATTCACGAAATTGCGTAAGAGCTTCAGGCTGAAGCTCTTACGGTAGACCTCCTTGAGCCTGACGACGGTGACAGATGACGTCATATTCTGAAGACGGTGAGGGCAGTGAAGGAGAGCCTGCGTACACTAATAGAGGAACACTTAGGGAATACTCTGCTGAGGAACTCCCGTCAACGACAGCAATCTCTGCGAAGAAAAAAGAGCCGAAGTCCGACATAGGCAAAATGTCTTTTTTTTTGGCCCCCCCCCTGTATATATTTAGTTTACGTCCTAGGTGTATTTCACCTTGCGGAAACTAACCACAGATATTCCACATAGGGATAAAAGATTCAAAAAAGGCGTAGATGATAGCGTACTGCGTCAAGTTGTATCACCGTTTCAGTGACGAAGTTTGCCGAGTACGTTGTTGTCACTATGGGATTATCGCCAGAAAAATTTACAAAATTTCACATGAGCCAAAAGAATTTTATAGATTCCCGTATTCACAGTATCTGTAGGGGTGATCTGCCAGGGAACAGTTTGAATATCGGACGTCAAGGGCGTTGATCGTTTTTCAGGAAGACTCCTCAGGAGTAGTCATAAAGCGAGGAGGCATGGACAACGAATGGCAAGCTCTAAAAAACCGGAGTCGACCTTCTAAGATTTCTGGGAAGGATGTAACGTTCCCTACTGACCCTAAAGAACTCTATAGGACACTGAAGTGAGAATTTCTTGTTTGTCGCTATAAACTACTGATTTTGTGATCGCCTGAGAAAACCTCATGGTCATATGAAAACTTTTTCACAAAGCCTCTGACTGGTTCTTTTACACTGTCAACACTGTGTTGATTTGCTTTCCAGGGCTCTCAATTCACTGACAGCAGAGCCAATGACATTCCTAAAGGACGATACAATGTCAGGGAACTCACTGTTCTCGCGGCCCCGCGGTAAGCCATTCCTTTATGGAAAAACTTACCTGCAGGTGAGGTCACAGCGATCGCGCGTTGAAGAAGCAAGCTTTAGCTAACATAAATTTTCATTTCGAATGCGAGCAGTAAGTGTGACCTGATTTTGCTGGTGCTCGCGAAAACGCGAATAATAAGCTTCGCCTTCCGCGATGCGAGCCCAAAATTGACATATGGTTGTGGTTATATGTTATATTTTTTTATATTTATGTTTGTGGTGTCCAGTTCGAGCTTGCTCTGATTTCGGATAGATATGGATAGGAATGGTAGGCAATAGAGGGCGGGAACATACTTCGGTATATCGAATATCCTTTCACTAATGTGTTCATAGCCCTAGAACAAGCCACACATCAGCTGCCAGCTTTGAATAGGTTGATTACGGCACTATTCAACTATTCCGACCCCAAAAACTCAAAATTTTATTTTTCGTCGAAACTTCGCCTATAGGGGTAATTCGGTGCCCTGATCACGAAAATGAGGTTCATTTTTGGCGCTGGCGCCATTTGGCGCCAATTGGCGCCAATTTGGCGCCAAGGGTGTTTTCACCAAATTCGCTGTAAACTTGCACATAGGGGTTATTTGGGGTCCTGATCACGAATATAACATTCATTTTTCCCTCCAGCGCCTGTGCGCGCCTGTTTTCCGCTCGTCTGCGCCCTCTCACTGATCACCTCGCGATCGGGACTAAGCCTTTGAGGAGGAGAGTGCTCCGAAGTGAATAACACTTATCCTGTGATCTTATACGCTTTAACGTTTGCCACATGTTGACTGGTTCACCCACCCCGGAGTCCTCCCTCCTTCTAGGCTCAGTCCTAGGTATTATGTACAAGTGAGAGGACCCAGGAGAATGGAAAATGTGCGTTGAACGGTGGAAATGCTAAAAACGAATGACATATCCGTAATCAGGACCCTAAATAACCCCTATGTGCAAGTTTACAGCGAATTTGGTGAAAACACCCTTGGCGCCAAATTGGCGCCAAATGGCGCCAGCGCCAAAAATGAACCTCATTTTCGTGATCAGGGCACCGAATTACCCCTATAGGCGAAGTTTCGACGAAAAATAAAATTTTGAGTTTTTGGGGTCGTAATAGTTGAATAGTGCCGATTTCTTTCTTTGATAAAGCACCGTGAAGCAACAACCAAGAAGGGAGCAAAGAGGACTGGACTTTAGCGCATGTAGCACACTAATGTTGTCACTCACTTTCCCCGCCCTGTCTTCTCCCAATCTATGTTCCTCTCCACCCACCCACTCCTCAAAAATTGCAAAGGCAATCGCCCTTCGAGGATTTTTTCACCTTTATTCACCTCTCAAGAGGCTTCTCGTTGTCACGACACACTGCTGCTGACTACCACATAATCACAACACCCAGCTAGCCTGCAGCTCGTAACTATTTCACATCCCCTGAAGCTACTTGCCTTGCTCACTTTCTCTGCTAATTTGTCCATGAATTCAGTGCTTATGCGAAAGCCGGTGACGTACGATCCATCATGTAACAAAGTCAGAAGCGGACGAAGATGTGTTCAAGGTACGATGACAAATGCTTCATTTCTCGTGACCTTCGATAAAAAATCTCTTATTCGCACGACACGAGATACCTTGGTTTTAGAAGTTCTCTGAACTGACCGATATACACGGTATATATCACCGGGCCAGAAGTCGCAGTCCATTCACGAAACCTGGTTAGTCATTATGTTTCTAGTTAACAGTTTTCAATTGGCCCTGTTTGGCACCCGTTGACCAGTCTATCACAAAAGTAAAACCTCGAGATGTTGATGTCAAAACTTGAATGCAGGTAAGCTTACAGTGCGTTTCAAAAGTATGTGCACACCCTCAAAATTCACGTTTGAAAGGGAACCATGAGGTTTCGTGCTATGAAATCCTTCTCAATCGATTTCTCGTAGTCGATAACCTATCAATGGAAGCAAAGCAGATAATATCGCCTCACTTTCGGAAAAAATTTTGGATGAAATTTTTTCTTTGTTTCAAAAGTATGTGCACACTTGAAGAAGATCAGATTTTGGCGCCGAATTTTCCACCGATTTCAATCCGACTTTGCTGTTTTCATTTCGTCATCATGTCAATTCGCGCCATACTTCTTCCTGAAGATGAGCAAGCTCAGATCAAGGTTCTGCATGATAATGAACGTTCCAATCTAGAAATCGCACGATAACTTGGTCGTTCTCCTTAATGCATTCGAAGATTTATCTGGCACCCTGATAATTATACTCAGCACACACTCCGCTCCATCCACGATCCTTGACTGCTCAGAACAACAAAAGAGTAGCCCACATCCTGTCGGATTCTTCATTGACAGTCCGAGCTCAGATTTTTATTCCAGCCTCGAAAATGACCACTAAGCCCCTCATCCGCTCAAATGAATACACCACTCGACAGACGCTGAGAAAGGCTACTCACTTCAAGGCCCAGCACAAGTTAGCCACATTGGAGTCTGCTCGTACAGACATGGCAACATAGGATAGGACACCGGGCGAAGACACGCTTTTTCGAGAATTTCCTATTTTCAAAACAAGCAACTTTTTATGGACTTTCTCTCCTCAGGTAATCTTAACTCATGGAAAGAGTTCGATCTTGACGGGCCGGGTGGATTTTGCTACTACTGGAGAGGCTTGGCCGTGAGTCGCTCGTGCTCTCGAGAAGGAATTTCGGAAGAGGCCCGTTGATGGGTCTGCGGCGGTTTCGCAATCAGCGGAAATTCAGAAGTTGCCGTTCCATTATTGCGTATGAACTGTAAAGAATACCAAGCAGTGCTCCAATGTCACCTGTTGCCCTTCCTTAGCGAAGCGGAGCGAAAATTGCATTTTTAGCAACAGGACCACGTGTCTTTCGATGCTTCGCAATCTACCAAAGAATGGCCTTAACCAAATGGTGCTGAAGCGATAGATTGGCTTGTGTGTCCTCCTTACTGCAACCCTATAGGGAGCCCTTGATCAAGGCGTTAACTTTAGCAACCGGCAGTATAATACCGCGGATGAACTGAAGGCGGCGGTAGAGGCTATTTGGGCCGACAGCGACGAAACAGCTATGCCAAACGTGGTTCAGATTATGCCGGACAGGATGTTTGAGCTAATTAGAAACTCTGGAGGCCCCACTGATTTCTAATCTCAGCTATGTTTTTGTCTTTTGTTAAGTGTGCACATACTTTTGAAACAAAGAAAAAATTTCATCCAAAATTTTTTTCCGAAAGTGAGGCGATATTATCTGCTTTGCTTCCATTGATAGGTTATCGACTACGAGAAATCGATTGAGAAGGATTTCATAGCACGAAACCTCATGGTTCCCTTTCAAACGTGAATTTTGAGGGTGTGCACATACTTTTGAAACGCACTGTAGATGGATCGACCGCCGAAAAGCCTGTCAGAACCTAAGAAGTGGCATCCGCTTCTTCTCCGTTGACTCCAAATTTAGACGAGTTAGCCACGGTTATTGGATGTTGACAACTTATCGACGTGGGATTTACGCCCCCCCTACGAACTGTAAGTTAGCACCATCGTTTCTTTGTGTTATCGTTATGATAATATGCAGTCTTACTGCGCAGAAGAGGTACCCAAACGCGGAAACGAAAGTTGAAATAAGTAAGATGTCAAGGTAAGGCGGCTTGATAAGAAAGGCGCTCCTGAATACAACATTCTGGATTCCATAG